ACTGAGAGCTATGGCTTATAACTTTATATAACATCATGTTCCTGTTGGCCTATAACATCCCTCTTTTTTTTATATTGTTTACGGCGCTACATATAATCAATCTGCATAGGCCTACAACTTTGTTTCGTCCTTGCCAAAGTAACTTACATACTGTACTTGAGATTGAATTCCTTAGCTACGGATAGGAAAACAGAATAAAGCCACTGTAAAAAGGGACAAGTGAAGTGAAGTGAAGTGAATACTGTCATACTAATTTTAATAAAACTACATTTTATACACTATGTAGTCTCAATATACATAACAGTAAAAAAGTATATTACATCTATGGTTTACATAACAAAAACTATAAGACAAAATCGCTAAAACGTAAGACTTATGTTCATTAGCAACACCAATAATATGATGTCAACAGTACTATTCAACCACTGTAGAACGAAACAGCAAAAATGAAAGTAAACTTAGTGTTATTGGAGATAGTACAGTCAATACAAGTAGGCCTAGATGGAAATGGGTTAATTTAAAAACCATACATGTTCAAAATGATAAAAGTAATCCCAACTTAAATTCGAAGTAAAAATTAGAACTCCCTAATTAGGCTTAATAATAGTAGTAGTATTCATGTTTAAAATGAAACAAAAATGGTAGGTTTTACAAGTTCCTCTAAAATCATATTATAAGTGAACATTAGCCCCTTTCCTTTCAGTAATACAAAGCGCCCTTTTTTCAAAGAAACAAAAAAAATTATTTATCTATTTAAAAACATTTTTTTACAGGATAACATAATCAGAGATAAACTGTTTTACACTATGATCCTGTTATAAAATTAAATACATGCTTGGTTTATACAAGGTGATTTAATGCCGGTTAATACACTCAATGACACAAATTGATGTTACAGTGGCCCCTTCTTCACTTTGCAAAAGTAGCCTCGGAAAGAAACCCATCTCGAAAAGAAGCCCATTTCGAACAGAAACCCATGCTTCAATTTGAGGTTCTACGGTAGTACTGTACCTTAAATTCTATATAGTGCTGTCCACAAATTGGACCAATGCAGTATACAACTTAAAAAAGAGTGCATGACCTTCATCACGCAATCAAGTGCAACAATTGTATTGCTATATTTCAAAAAATTGTATCCGATATTATCTACCAATAACTTTGTATGAACTCATGACCCACACATTAACATGCAAGTTCTGTAGATGAGAAGTAATTATACAGACACACTTCTCGGTGTTGAAAAACTTACAGGAAACAATGGTTCTTCCAAAAACAAAACAGCTGACAAAATGAGCACAGCTGGAATTACCCTGGCCATAACATCAAACTTTTCCTTTGTATCATATTCATTCAAAACAAAATTTTAAAAAATTACTCACTGCAACATACGCTATCCTTGTTAGAGTGCAAAATTTATATGCAAATTTATATAGCAATTAGATGCAAATTTATAGAGATAGATAATGGTTTATTCACATAAACACAAATACATCATTGCAGCAGAGCTAGATATCGATAGCAATATATAAAAATTTATGTATAGAAATGTACAATACATACTTATTATCTACTTAACTCTCATATCTAGCAATATAAATATATTTGTTTTAAGAACACTTTTAAAGATAGATATAAAGGTGATCCCGTATTCATTACTGAATGTAGGGGAATGAGCAGTTAGCCAATCATCACTGTGTGGTACGGTGGCCAGTTCTTTTCCACGCTGCCTTTTTCCTAACCAGAACGAACCATTTATACACGTGGGTGAAGAGACACAAACGTAGGTAAAGTGCCTTTTTCAAGAACACAAGCTCAACCACCAGGCTGACCCAGAGGTTGAGAGACTGAAACACAACCACTCTGCCAATCACTCTTACTCCCTATAAAGATAGATATACTGCACAATAAAAAATTAAGAAAAATAATGAAAAAAAAATTATAATAAAAATTTGAATTGCTCATTTAAAAAACCACTTAAGCTATCACCATTAAATACTAATTTCCAGTTTAAAGCTAATATACTACATAGAGTAAACCATACAGTACCGTAAGATTAAGTGGGCACATTTTCGGCCATGAAACGAAGGGAAGTATACCTTTTAACAACATGGACACTATTAAAGGGACATTTTTTCTTTGGTAAGGGGTTCTTTATATACAAATGCAGATAATAATAATTTGAATAAAAATAAAACCAAAGGTATGTGGATTGGGTACAATGTAAATAAAAAGAGTAACCCTTGCGATATCACCTTCATCAAAGAACCAATAAAGTTTCTTGGAGTATACATCGGATATGACAAGGAGTTTAAAAATTGAAACGCAAGTGTCATAGATATACCACAATCCATTATTTCTGAGGTTAACAATAATTTATATAACTTTTTATGGAAAGAAAGAAAAGAAAAAAATAAAACGAAATACAATCATACAAGATATTACTAAGGGTGGTCTTAAGATGATTGATTTCAATTCAATGGTTGAATCCCTTAAATTAAGCTGGGTTAAACGATTACTAAACCCTGACCCAGGAAAGTGGAAATTTATTCCATCTTTCTTTCTAAATCCTCTGCCTTATAACTTATGTATGACTGAAGTTAGTTATGAAGATCATAATACGTTTGTTAAAATGCCTAAATTTTATCAAAATATGCTAAATTCTTGCATAAAATTTAACAATGTACATTCTTCTGAACCACACTGCATCTGTGAGATTAAAAAACAGAGGCTGTGGAATAACAGATTCATTAAATTCAATAAGAAACCTCTATTATAGAAATCATAGATAGACTCAAATTTTAAAATTATTAATATCATGGTTGGAACAAGCTTTAAGCATATAAAGGAAAAAATTCCACAACTTCCAAAAAAACGTGTTAATTGAATATGTAGCTTTAATTGATGCAAAACCACGAAATCGGGAACATATCATAATACATAAACTTATTTGCACAATGAATAAACCAAATGAATGTAAAACTAATTATGCGTCTCACATACACACAGAGCCAAGATAGTCTTGGACTTGCACCGTGTGTGGACCCTAACCTTGCAGTTTTCCATTTTATTATCACTATGTGCAATTGTTCTAACTCTGTTTCAATCTGTTTCATTATTTTACAATTATCATTTCAAAATAACATGTCTTGGTGAAAAGGGAGGCTTCTATGCCTCCACTGGGTTTATAGCCTCTCTACCCAACACTGATTCATTCATTTACTTTATCATATTTTTGTTTAATATCTATTTGAAGTATATTTATATATTTAACAGTTCAAATGTACATATATTACCATACTTCTTTACATAAAGAGAGTTTGAGTACTTGCATACATTTAATATGTGTATAATGTCTGTTTGTATGTGTAGATATATACAGTATTATAAATATGTGAATGCGTATCATATTCGAACAGTAACCGGAAGGTCTTGGTTTGGATCCCGATAGGGAATAATGTTTATCTCAAATATTATTATCTGTATTTATTATCTCCATACATAAATAACCCTCATGTAACTTACGATTATTCATTGCATACTTTGCAATACATTGTGAAAAAATTAATATTCCTGGTGGGAAAAAAATTATATTGACTCTATAATTCATTGACAAAAATTGGCCAAAAAATTATTCTGCGATGGTTGAAATAAAGGTGGGATGCACCCACGAAAGACAAAAAAAAAATATATATATATATATTTCATGATACTGTTAAAAAATACTTTTTTTCTGATATTTCTTTCTTTGGTTTCTAAAATGCATTTTATCTATATATACTAAGCTTATAATTCATGCAATTCATGATTTAAAGAGACAATAGAAATTTATTTATTTAATAAATCAAGATGTATACAAATTTATACTATTACATCAGGTTGCTTTAAAAAGCTTGTTGAATCAAAATTATGAAAATAATCATAGACATAAAATATTTATTATAATAAACAGCAATTTAGAAACAGTACAAAATTAAATACTAGTATTGACAGTTAAAATTGAGGTATAAAATCTGAGAAAATCAAAAAATATTTGAATTAAAATAATAGTTTAGAACTTATATTATAATAGAATAATATAAACAACAGCAACAATAATAATAAAGATGATGACAACAATGTTTATGATAATAACAGCAACAACAACATCTATAGTAAATGATAACGATGATAATAATTACTTATAAAATGCAACATATACAGCTTCTATTAGCTTAATACATTAAAAATATTTTAAAAAGCTGAGATTACAGCAAGATACAAACCATGTTAATAAAATATATCTCTTCACACTCAATTGAATTAGAACCCACTTCATGTTTTATCACAACAAAATCTTTGGATGATTTACTTTGTCTTTTATTTGTTAATAAATTCATAAACTCTCGACCTAATTACAGGTGGCACAATAATCAATATGGATAGTTTATAGGAGGTGGTAGCACCAATGTAAACATAGTTGTGTTAGCACTAAGTTTAATACGGTGGTAGCAATATATTATTTATGGTGGTTGTGGCACCAACAAATATGGTTACTATGTACAGGCTTTACCTGTTCGCAGGGCACCTAGTTTTTTTTATACTCAATACCATACCACTCTGATAAAAAGAAGTTTAGATTTAACTTCATTTTGGTCAATTTTTTTTTTCAGACAATTACATACAGTCTTATAAGCCTATGGTTTATTATTATTAATTGGAATAGGTGGTGTAAACAAATACTACAAGATGATAATTTGAGAATTGTTTGAGCTACGCACACATAATTTAACCAAAATGGTTCATTAGAATTATAGAAAGCAAGTGTAGCTTTGAGGTTAAAAACCACAAATGTAGTCTTGTAAATTTTTGTCTGTTCCGAGTTTATAACTGAGGGTAGAATTATTGACCAAAATTTTCATTCAACTTTTAGGTTTTCTCTTGAATCTAAATAGACAGTTAAAACTCATTTATCCACTGAAGACTACCACCTTGAAAATGTTTTAAAAATCGTTTCACTGAACATTTATTATATATCTTCTTTTTTTTTGTTATGAGTACAATAATAAAATACCAGTACAGTACATAATATTCTTGTTTACACCTTTACTACAAGATCACACACACTAAGAAAAAGATCAACACACACATTGAGATAAGATCCACTCACACACTAAGTACAAGATGAATACACATGAAATATTAGGTTGTTATGGAGCTACTGTACTTGGTAAATACTTATTGTAATGAATGGTATTTTTAGGGGTAAACCAGTTCAGTGATGGCCCGGTATATAAGGCCTTTTCATAAATCAGTCTTAGTTTTCTTCTGGTGTTGCGACTCATGTTTTGAATCAGTCTTAACATGATGCACAGGCCATTTTTTGCATAATTGTTTCACGTAGCTATTATCCTTTTTCAGTTGGTTTTGTCGCTGTTCCTGAGCAGAGAGTAGCTTTAGGTTATACACAAAGCATAGTGTCCCTGATCTCAAGCTAGTGACATAATGTTGCTTGCCTCATGCTTGTGGTGCTGCACTCAAGCTAAGGGTGCGGTGTCACTATCTTCAGGCCAGTGGCGTAGTGTATGTACTAGTGGCGTAACACTGCTGTACCGAATTTTAGCATTGTACTCCAGATAGGAATGTGGAGTCCCTGTATTCAGGATAGTGGTGCAGTGTCAGTACTTAAACTAGTAGTCTAACACTGCTGACTCAAGCTTTTAGCACTGTACTCAAGTTGTTGTGGTCTCACTGTGATCAGGCCAATGGTTGAGTGTCTCAAACAAGTATTGTGCTGCCACTCTAGTAAAGATAGCTGTACAATGCATTTGTACACAAGTTAATAGCATCAGTGTGCTCAAGCTAGTGGTGAGGTGTCGTTGTACTCATTGCGGATGCTGTCGAGAAAACTCATGCCTGAAGAACTCATGCTTGCCTGTTGCTGTTGAAAAGACGTCTGTCGTTTCTGATAAAAAAAAAAAAACACAAACAATCAATAAATATATAAATTTAAAACAACTATAATAAATGCATAATCTTAACACTATTCAGTTAATAAAATTAAATTTAGATATAAGTCAACTCTTTTTTTAAATATATTTGTGACAACTCTGTTAACCAATCAAATAAAAAAAAATAGCAAAACAATTAATTGCAGATATCTTCTATGCATGAGGAAAAATTAAAGGCATGGTAAAACTTAAAAATAGATTCTAAATGCTTACAAGTAGAATTTCTATTTCTTCCTTCTGCTTCTTCTTACTTGATGTTATGGATGGGGTGGTGGATGGAGTGGTGGATTTCTGTAAACAAAACAGATATTAGTATTTTTTATACTAAAATATAAAACATATTCTCCTGGTTTGTAAACAAGGCAAAATGCAGAGAGACATCTTTTGCTCTTTTCAAAAAGTGTACTGCATGCTCTAACATGCACAAGAACTATAAGTATAAAACAGGACCAATTGGCGAGTCTATAAGGAATACATTATATACCGATATAGGATTCAATATCAAAGTTCTTATTCTAGCTGCTTATGAAACAGTGTTCCACTGTGAGATGATGATGTGTTTGATTCAATGACTGGGGTAAAATTGTAAAGTACATAAATGCTGCTTTTTTATGTATATACTATATAAATAAAACAAATATTATTGTTACTGTACTGTACTACTAACAAGCAGAGTATTACTAATTGACCTTTCTTGAGTTTCAATCTCACTTAACAACTGATCAAACAGAACAGGGCCAGGGATAAGCACGTCTCACAAACGTACGTTTGCAAATATTTTACACTGTGATGTTAGCAACAATATCCAAGGGGCGGAGCTTTGCGGAAAGGTCCATTGAAACCTACCCTTGGACTTGCAGACCATGATTCAGAAGTCTGACCATCTGAGAGAGCATCAGAGTCCGTCCCTGATTTTGTTCTAAGCAAACTCAGTGAGCTGTCTTGTTTCTTCAATTCACTATGACAAGACTTCAAGAAACTGAGAACGTCTTCATGATCGTATTCCTCTGCGAGAATGAGAGGTGTCCTATCGCTGGTGTCCCTGACATCTATCATTGCACGGTTCGCTACCAGCCATTTACAAGCTTCAAGATGTCCACTATAAATAACAAGACAATATTCATGAAAAACTTTCTTTTAATTATAACAATAATTAACTTCAATAAAAACAATTCTTGTCCTTGAGCAAGGCATTACCTTGCTTTCTTCCCAGAAGCATGAGTAACCTGATTTGAATATTAAATGTATATCTAACCTCATAGCAGCTAGATGCAGCGGTGTCTGACGGTCCACTGTACGGGCACCTACTGACATGCCCATGGCAGTAAGGACCATCATCACATTCACATAACCATTAATAGCAGCCAGATGTAGACAGGTGTAGCCTGTTGGCGTTTCCTTGTTAATGTCCGCATCAGAGATGGTCAAGAACTTCACCACATTTAGTTGACCACTTGCGGAAGCAGTTAATAGTGGTGTAAATCCTCGCTCATCTGTAAGCCTAAGATAATTGACACCAGTGTTATTTGTACTAAGTTATTTGTATTAAGTAAGTTTTTGCACATAAAGGAAGATAATTTTAGACTGCTTGACGTCTTTAATAAATTTTGTAGGTTTTCATTATTTTCATCCTTGGTGTGTTTTACATAAAGAAATCAAATCCAGCCATTAATCATATGAATTCATAATATCATGCCAGCATGTCTGAGTTGTTTTGTGAAGGGATTGTCGCTTGTACACAAGATAGCAACATACTGCACATATTCAGCCCATGTGCCTGAATTTATAAACATTTATCAGCCTGTTTGAATTTTAAACACCAAACCTTATAGAGGTTAGTATTGACTACTGCATAAAAAAGAACATCAAGCCATACTGAAGCAAATTTTTGCTTCAGAAATATTACAAGATGACATTCATCAGGCTCAGACAAAGACAATGTCAAAAGAAGGTCTAACAGCCTTCACAACAACTGCATGGATGTTGAAGAAGCTCAGTCTATGTTGGGATGAGTGTTAGATGAAGTAATAGTTATGGACGTATGTATGTTCTGTAAAATCAAATGAGGGGATTGTAATGCTTACTCTTTGAGATCTGGTTTGAGTTGGATTAACTGCTTGACTCTTGCCAGGTTCCCTTTCTTACAGCACTCATGAATAGTATCACCAGAAAGCAGTGCTGCTTCTTTCTGCCTTTCTTCCTCCTTTTTTCCTTCCTCCTCTTCCATTTTCTTCTGTTCTCTTTCTTTACGTGCAAGCACTCCAGCCTTTTAACAAAATTAAGGATGCATATTAGAGAGAGGAAGAAAGAATAAATAAATTTACAAATACTTTTTAATATGCTATTGGTTAGGCACAATCTACAAATTATCCCCAACAACAGAAACTGGTTTGGAAAAACTATGTATTACAAACGTGTCTATGAAAGCGATCATTTAATTATTGTGTCTCATGAATATTAATAAGCTGTGAATAATCCACACACATCTGAATGGAGTTGTGCCGTTTAACATGTTTGCATTGTTTCTATTGTTTTCGATGACAAACGCGTCCGTGTCGTTAGAGCAGGCCTCGTTTGGACTAGCGTTGTTGAACTGGGGGGGGGGGTGTGGATGCCCAAAGTCCCAGATGAGAGCAAAGTGGGCGTGGTCGAGCGTCACTTAAAATACTTCGAAAAAGGTCCAGGGGGAAAAGCCCCCAAAGATTTGACAATTTAGGGGTTTCAAAGGCTTATTTAATTGATTTTAGAGTTTACTAATATGTACAAAATACATATAATTTTTTTTTCTTCCCGACAAATTGTGGTTTTTCTCCCCGACGGAGGGGCCCTGGTCCCCCCACCCCGTTGGCGCCGCCCTTGCTAACAATAATTTAAAATTAAGCTTGTATGCTTACCGGACGCTTCTGTAAAATTTTAATTTTTAGTCTTGTTTAAGTCTTGTTTTGTATTTTATATATTTCTATTCTTTAGGCCTACTGTTATTTCATGTGGGGAAGCTGTTATGTGTTTAATATATTAATAACAACATTGAGTTTCATTATATTAATGTTGAAATATAAATAAAACATACAACTGAATGTGTACCACTGTATTTATTTGCTAATTCTTCAGTGACACAAAAAAAACATGTGGTGTAGATAAAACAGTATTCAATTCTTTCATTCTGACAATTTATTTATCTATACGACATTGGAAAAATATGTAATGTATACATATAGGCCTTGAAATACATGGTAAAAACTATCCCCCGCCAGACACCATCTGGTATTTCCAACATGACATCGTTAGCAAGAAATTTAATGGAGTCAATGTGCACTTCTCAGGAAATGGTCTCTGACTGGGCCAAAGTGCAAGGTGAATGGGGAAACAGTTTTTAGTTAGAGTGAAGCAATATTTAATCAAGTCGAGATGCAATACCCCCAAATCCACACTGAAAGAAGTAGTCAATGATAAAATGCCGCTACCATCGTTTTTTTTTTACAGAATAAGGGGCAGAACATTAGCAAGCAGGCAATAGGCCAACAAATACTGTAAATAATACAGTACGTTGGAAGCTGTTTGCATTGTATATGAATAAAGGTTAAATAAAAAGTAGACCTATATGGTTCACAATGAAGATATTTTGAAGGAAATGAAATGAGAAATATTTTTACCTCAAATCCTGCCATGTAATTCTTTTTTTGACGTTCCATGTCACCAGAGGGTGGGCTGTGGTTGAGCTGACCATCCTCCGATACTTCCTGAATGCTCTTTAATGGTCTTGGATGAGACAAAGAGTCACCTTGATATGAGGTCCCTTCAACTGGTTGATTATCGGACTGACCACCACTGCCATGATGTTTACCATGCCCATCAGAACTACTTCTGTTATGCTGCCCTCTTTGGTCTTGGTTGTTTCTAGAGTTGTATTGCTTTGTTTGTTGTTCTTCTTCATCACTCTCGCTATCACTGTCACTACTCTCTTCAGTGCTGTCACTGTCATCACTGTCTCTCCTATTGTTCTGTTGCATTGTGTCAAACTTATCCTCACCATCACTCTCACTCTCACTATCAGTCTCACTCGAAGAAGTTCCACTGCTACTACGTGTAGCTTGACTATTATGACTCCCTTTACTGCCATCACTGTCATAACCTGTACTTGCATTTTCAACAATGATCATCCTCCTATGGTGGGGTTCTTGATTTGGGTAAGCTTCACTGTCAGGGCTACTTTCCACGTAACTGTGCTGGGAGTCAGTCTCAGAATCAGATGATACGTCTAAACAAAAAATATGATTAGAGAATGCATGTGACATGGCAATGACTAATAATATTAATTGTATCTTCAACAATTTATATATTACTTTATAATATATAATATATTAAACAACATCTAAAACAATTTAAAAAAAAAACATTTATATAGCAGAAAAGGAAAGCCTGTTTATGTGTGTACATGTCTAACTCCATAAACATGAAGTTACTTAAATAAAAAAATATGAGTACAGCAAGAAGGCTTTACTGATCAGTGAACAAAGGGAGGGATGAATCCTGAACTGTTTTATATTTCAATATATCACACTTCCGCTGTAGAATAACAATGAGGCCTAAAGTTAATGCTTTTTAGGGCCCTAATACCCAGTGGGGTGAGGGACAAACTTGCCCTGTCTGTTTTAACATTTTAACAGTGTATTTTGTTGGGTTTTTTTTCCTTCATTAAACCCTGCTCAGCCATTTTGGAGCCCATGATTTCTGGCAAAATAATTGCTGATTAATATCTCAGGGCCCCAGAAGAGTCTGGTACCCCCTTGCCTTTAGCCAGTAAGAGCCCATGGGTGTTGCATCTCTGCAAAAAAACAATTCTTCTTACCCATGGTGATGTTACCAACAGGTAAAGTTCTAGCTGTTTTGCCATCATCATCTTGAGCTGACAACCACTTTTCACATAGGAATTCATAGGTGACGTCATCCTGGTACTCCTTTACATGAACCTTCTCCAAAAACCAAGCACAGCCTAGAAATAAAATATCACCTTAAAATTAAATAATTCACAATAGGTCTATCTACCACTACGCTTCCCAAACTATGGGTCGCAACCCAAAAATCGGTCGCCAAACTTTTGCGTTGGGTCGCGAGCAGGTTTCCAAAAAACAATTAGATTTATATGCTCATTTTCAGACTAATGTGAAGTTTAACAGGCCTGACGACTTAAAAACAGTATTTTTAGGTGAATCCTCATATCATTACAATATTATGAAATTAATATGACTATAATTTTTCTGTTGCCATTTACCAACTTAAAAACAAACTAAAAACAAAAAATTACTGTCAGGTGACCTAAAAATAACATTATCCAAATAAATTTAAAATGTGTAACTACTGCAATGCAAACAATAGGTCATGCATTTTGGTTGATAAGACTATACAGTAGTCCAGGAGGGGTGCTCGGGGTGCCTGAGCACCCTCCTTCAGAGATTGAATTAATAAAAAAAGTGCCCCTTTTTAAATTTTAAAACATAACTGACATAAATTTAAAGTTATTAAAGTGCAATTTTCGGGCAGCATCTAGAAATCATCAATTCCAAAAATATTCTCACCTTACCTTCAACCATGATGGGGTGGATATAGTAATTTTTGTAGATTCTTTGTATTAAAGTCACAAATTCTTACAATTGTCTTACCTCAGTCTCAACTGGGCTGAGGTGGATGATAGTTTTCATAAATTTTAAGTATCCAAATGCTGTTTTGGGCATCTATAAAATCTCAAATTCTGTGCCCCAAAACTATGGTGGGGCTCAGGTGGATATTGTAGATTTTGTAATATTCAAGTGCTATTTTCAATTTTCTATAAGTCTTAAATTCTTAAAATTTCCTCACCTGAGCCCCAACCATGGTCGGGCTCAGGTGGGTATGGTAGTTTTTAAAACTGAAAGTATTTAAATGCATTTTCCACACCTATTTAATTAATTTGTTCTTTTACTCTTTTTTTGTCAAAAATAGTCCCATTTGCGGGCATCCAGAAGTACAAAATACTGAAAATGTTCGCATGTCAGCGCCAGCCAAGACATGCTGACATGGTGTGGAGTTGCATTTCATTCAGCATTACCTTCCTTATATCCTGGATATGCCACTGGTAACCACATAGTTAAAATTTAGATTTAGGTTCATCAAATATATAATCCAAAGGTTGGAAATATTTTCTACAAAACGTTCGATTATACTTTCATTTTAAATGCATTAAAAGTTGTCTCATTTTCCAATGTGGATTCAAGGCTCCCTCTTCCCCCACCAAAACATCCTCCAATTAATAAAAAATAATGGGAGAAAAAAGGGAACTTAATTGTATTTATATTCAATCTCTTCTGTGGTCCCATATTAACAAATATCTTTTATTATCTCCGCCAGGAGATATATGTTTTTGTTTCGTGTGTTTATGTGTGTGTGTAACTCTTTGCTGTTTCAGTTTTTTTCTTGTGCACAAAATATCTAAAAAATGGCTGAATATATGTCAATTCCAGTTACAGGGATTGTTAGGTATGACCCAAGGATGAGGTGATTAAATTTTGGTGACTGTCTGGATTAGGGTGTGGATGTGAGGACCATTTAAAGGATTTTATCCTAGACAAGATATCTCAACTCAAAAACTAATCAACTGACATGAATGAAACTTCCTGGAAGTTTAAAGAAGTTACAAGGAATAAATTATCCAAAATATCTTAAATTGTTTGGATTGTTTGGTATAACCCAAGGATGAGGTGATTAAATTTTGGTGGCCAACCAGCGTAGGGTGTGAATATGAAGACCACTCAAAGGAAAACGTTCCAGACCAGATATTTCAAAAAATAATAAAATGATATGATTGAAACCTTTGTGGAAGGTTTAACCAAGTTAAAAGGAAGAAATTGTAAAGTGCTGGTGACGATACAAATACGGGGGTACATGTGAGGGCCATAAGGACTCACACCTAAATATCTCTTGATTGGATCAATGGCTGAAAATTACGCTTTCCATAATAGTTTGTCATGTTTTAATAAAGAATTGTTTAAATTTTGGTCCTGATCCGACGTATGGTGTGGATATGAGGTCCATTTAAAGAAAAATTTACCGTATTACCTATAGGCTGAAACAATAGCTATATAATGAATATTTAAATTAGTGCAATGACAGTAAATATTTACAGCGTTCTGTATGTAATAACTTTTTTTTTGGAACTTATTGCGAATACTTTTAATGAATCTTTACATTTTAACATGTGATGCTAAAACCAAATCCCCATATTTCTATTTCCATAATACTTCCATTTCAACACCAATACATTGCATGCATTTTGTTTGTCAGCTATAAAAGGTAAAACGTGCTAGTATGTTAAATCAGAACATGTAAGGAATTGGCAGGTGTACAACTGATATATATGTATGATATATATATGTTATCTATTTCAATATTGATTGAACTTTGGAGGAACAGTATATCCATTGTATGTGATGACAGACGTTTCAAAAAAGGTTAAACCGTTTTCTCTAGCTAGCTGTAACATGCACTGCTCTCATCCTCTTCTACCGATGAAACACATGTTTTAATGCGGCACATTTGTAAACATGGACTCTATTCTATTTTAATGTTGATTAATCTCGAAGTTTAGTGGAAAAGTAATGTACTTATTATATATATATGATGATGAGGCTCTTTAAAGAAGGTATTGTATTGTATACTGTAAAATATATTTTCTCTAGCTTGCTGTTCAATGTATTGCTTTCACCCTTCTTCAAACAGCGAAGCACATGTTTTGTTGCGTCGTTAATTAACCATGGACTCTACCATTCAATATGGGTAACTAATTTTATAATTATTAAATTGTTTTTAAATGCTTGAATGTACCAAATGATTATGTTACTTTACTAAAGGGATTTCAATTTCATTTATAAAATGCATAAAATGTTTAAAAGTAGTTGTCAATTGTTGATATAGTACAGCGTATCAAGTGGACTTGGAACGTCTTCCTTGATACAGTACAGCATGGCCGGCTGAAAGTATAGGGTCTGTAGCTTTGACAACGTAAATAAAATTTTGCAGTTCCATCCATAGAGCAATTACTCTATGTTTAAGATCAAAGTAAAATTTAGACACTTGACTCTGGTCCTGTAACAATGGGCTATGGGATATGAACTGAATTACGATCTCTAACATATTATCATTATTTTATTCTTCAAATTTCTCTTTCTATCCATTGATTTATTGTTTATTCAATAATTTGTTCCGATATAATAGTTGGGAATAACCTTGCATTTAAATATAATATTGTATATCAATAAATGATTGTACAATAGGCCTACTATTTGTAGCCATATTCATAATAAAGTACAGTGATCGCCAATGAATACTCTGCATATACGATGAAAATCAGAATTTAGTGCAGTAAGCTAGGGTGGCATTATTTTTCCCTATTTATTTTCATTGCATTCTTTGTAGGTCATTTTGAAAACAGAAATTAGGCCTGGGTGTAGAGGACACCTATGCCATTTTCGGATACGGTAGCCATTTTTTCAGCTTCCAAAATGAAAAAAAAAAACCACTAAAAGTAAGAGTATTGTGTTTAGATCAGACTATCATACAAGCATATACAAGCGACTGTTGTACACACACAGTAGATCTTGATCACTAATTATTTCCATGTAATAAACTATTTATGCTAATTAACTTTAGTTTATGTTCCATTGAATGAACTGTTTCTTTTTTTTTCTTTTTTTTTTTTAATTTTGTTTGTCACTTCCTTGTCTATTATTGTACAGAAATTAATTTGGCTGTGTCGTAACAAATCCATTTTTAAATATATATAACAAATTAAAAATATATTAGTAAAAAGAGACTTAATAGGAAAATAAATATAATAACAATAATACAAGAATTTAATTGCACACAAAAATTCAGAGATTGACATTCCCTTAGTTTATTCTATGCATTTTTTTTAACCAGCAAACGGCAACTTCCATGGTAATGTCGAGTCGTTATCACTGGGTGGCGTACAAACGGTTTGAGCTATGCATAGCTTGGCCCGCAGCAAGATCAATGACCCGTGATTCAGTCTGTATTTCCATAGCAGCAAAACTGTGGGAATGTCCCTATGAATAGTTCCAGAAGAAGCAGGTACTGGCATTAAATTTTGTTTATCCTGTCACTACTCATGGCAACATTAGTTTGGCCTGATTATAACTTACAGTAAAGTTTATAGAAAATTTCAGTGGGTTTCACCTTGAAATTGGACATTTCGGTTGTAAATTTTACAGAATTGCTCAATAACAAATGACGAGATATACTGTAGTATTAAAATTAATTCATAATAATGATTGAAACCTATGACACAATATGGAAAAGAGATTTGCCACAAATTACAGTACATCAAAATCACGAGATAAACCGACGCAAACAAGTACAACAATAACGTCGGAAAATGAATCTTAATTCGCGAAATGGAACTGTCCAGAATTTTTGATCAGAATCTTGAACCACTTGTCGGCAACACGAAGAGATTTTAATCCCCAACCACGCGTTGTAGACGGGTATACGCGTTGCTTTATTTTGCGAGGCTTCCTTATAAGCTCTAACTTTTGTTAGTGTAACTTCTTTAAAGTAGATTGTGGTTGGTGGTAGGCATGTAGAAACATACTTTTGATGAATTAATTTAGAGGAAGGGATTGGTGAGTTATTGTGCGTTTTTGAAGAGGAAAGGAGCGAAATGAGTTGGGGTGGTAGTGGTAGAAGTAAATTAGGAACTTTTTTTGGGAGGTTGATTTTATAGAAAGGGTTTTGCTGTGGGTGGAGATGCTCTACTGAGTGCTCTTGTTTTTATTATTCTAATTAGAGACCAAAACTGCTGAAGACCATGTAAACACTGGTTCTAAAAGTGGTCTTTAACTGGAGGGAAACCTTTAATTGAATTCAATATTTAATATATTTTACTGTATATCTTGAAAATAATCAATCAAGAAAGTTAATTAAAGAATTAACTCACCTAACTCCTTCCTGTCATGACCAATCTCAACACATTCCAATTTACCAACATAAAATGACTCAACTCTGAACATATCAACCTAATAATCAAAAAAACTCTATTTAAGATAAATGCATGAAAGGAAAATATAAGTAAAACAAATGGATATTCAAATGCTAGTTATGAGATAATATATTTATGGTGTCGGCGACAATATGAAGATGATGCATGGAAAAAAATGTTTAAAAATAAATCTAAAATCAAAACTACTTCAATACCTGTCCTCTTTGAAATTTGGCTTTTGTGTTCTGACTGGTCTCCCTAGGCTGCTTTAGTTTTATTTTTCCTGTGTTGCCGTTCTCACCAAACAAGGTTATAAACACATCTGCATGTGTGTCGGCACCAAGACGGTCACCTGTGTGTATGGCCAACTCATATATAGACCTACGTCCAGATTTGAGCCTAGGCCCGTGCTTCATGTGTTCGTAATCATCTTCCTCAGGTGGAGGATCAACCTGTATCCCTATTTCTGGGGATGGTGGCGCTGTTTGCGTCCCTTGATTAGGTGGCGTTTGCACCTCGGCAGAAATCATGGTCTGTGTGGACATCTCTAACTGTGTTTGCGTCGCCATTTCAGGCATTGTTTGCGTGGATATAGTTGGTGGGATCGGATTTGTTTGGGTGGATATTGTTGGTGGGGGAGGTATGGTCTGCGTTGCAATTGTAGGAGGTGGGGGTTTAGTCTGGGTTGATGATGTAACAGGAGGCGGCTTAGTTTGAACGGCCATGTCTGCTTGATATGGATCTGTCATGCATTCTTCGCTGTTTGCATGGCGTGTCTGCGTGTCCTTGGAATTTTCTTTCTCGACGGTCTGTGTACTGATTTCACAACCAGTCTGTGTGGTGTTATCAATACTGTAGAGGTTTGGATTATCTGGTTTAGCTGTCACTGCTTCAGGCTCCTCTTCCTCTTCATCATCAACACTGACCTGTGACATCTGAATGCTGAAAAATGATAAATAAGTTTACAATCTAATTATGATTGCCATCTTTAAAATTTTAAATACTACTAGGATCAGTATACAGTAAGTTTCAAATGTGGTGATATCAAGCAATTTTGGTCGCTCGCAAAATGTCATTTTGAGATATGAATAAGCACATTATAAATTTTATATTAGTGAAAATTTATCAAAATCGGATTCCTAGATCTGAAGTTATAACAATTTCAACAACGCTACTCCAACTGGCAGGTCCCAAGAAAACAGCGATAAACGATCGAGTTATTGATGTGCTGGAGTATAGTAGGCTCAGCACCTAGCACAGCGCTGTACATTTGAATCTTACCTTAGCAACAAGGGGTTATATTTGTTTGATTAAACAGAAAATTTATACAAATAATGTACATAATGTATCTCGTAACTGTGAAAAGTTTTATATAAATATGTATAAAATGTAATATTAGCCATGCCAATTTGGAAGGCACATTTCCTTGAACAAAAACAGCAGTCATGTGATTCGACGCAAGGGGCATTGCGTTAAATTATAAATAAAACGCGTTTTAAATGTTGGCAATCAAGGGTAAACAATTTTGCAGTTTCAAACTCCATGTTCAAATATAGGCCTAAAGTAAGCCTAATAAAGAGGACTTTCCAGGATAGAAAACTGACAAGGGAAGGAGGCTTTTTATTTTTCATAGCCACATACTGTTCCGCGAGTAAACGCTAGTAAAGAACACATGACGGGCACAGCTACCATGCCCATGCTCCGATCGAAAAAATGAAGCAAGGTGGCAAAGCCACGCCCTAAAAATATCAGCTGATTAAAATAAGCCAATCTGACTTTCCAACGAAATGGCTTGATATCGCCACAAATGTTTTAGGTCAAAACCTGAAAGTTAAAATTTTGACCTTGTCAATCGTTTTTGCTTATATCTCAAAATCGGTCTAGTGACTTCCGACCGAAATGGCTTGATATTGCCACAAATATATTAATCATTAATTAGCTTTAAAGGTTGATGTTCTATATTATTTAGAGTAAAATCTTGGGGGAAAGTAGAAAGTTGAGTGGTTAAGCGGTAAAGCAGGGGCACCGCTAACCTTATTAATTAGATGCTTATAAAAAAGAAAAAGAAAAAAAAAACCAACCTATTAGTAACGGTTTATCTTTATCTAAATTAGATCATAATCAAATACTGTACTGCTTTCTTCTACCAATCCAGTCATATTGTTTGAGAACACTACAACTAATTAGTGAAGGCTGAATATTTACTGCTGGGAATGGTTAATACTAATAATAACATTGGCACTGGTTGAGCCGCTCCCTCGTCCAGGGTTTGGTTGGTAGAACTAAGTCCTCTCGGGTTAAGGACTAAAATAGAGGTCGAGTGTACGCATCTGGCTCATGTGCACTTTAAAGAAGCCATTGCATCTTTCGGAAGAGTGGGGGTGGGCAGGTTAATACCATGATGTTATTTCAGCCCCTGTTGTTGTGGAATGACGTGTACATGTAACTAATATAAGCACCTCTTTACGGCGGCTAGATGGTCACTGACCACGGCCATATAAAATTCAGCACAATGACGCTGTGAGGCTTGGGTTATTCTCCTACCCTTACCTCTACCTCTATTTTTACAACTTCATCCAAAAGTTAACTGGGTATAAGACATAACCAGTGCATCATTTTGTTTATTATAGACTACAGCAGACAAGTCCCTCCTCCTCCCTTTGTTTTCCTGTTTGAGAAATTCTGATTCTACCCCTGGCTATGAAATTTAATTTGTAAGAATGTAATATTTTTTAAAACTATATTAAAAAAGCTTGTTCAAAAATACTTACCTCAACCATTCTGGATTCTGATTGAATGAATTAGCTTGACTTATTGCTGCCTGATTGACTGGTATGAAGATGTTCATTGGTTCATCATCGGATTGATCAAATGCATCTGATGATTCAGAAGCATCATAATATTGAGGTGTCTGTAAATACAAACATACAAATTGGTCTAACAGATTTTATGCAATACCTTAATAAAAAATATGTGTACAAATGAGAAAATCCAAGAAAGCTTACTAGCTTGGCTTTCGTGATTCAGTTGGTAGAGCACTCAAACAGTAGTCAGAGGGTGTTGGGTTCATATCTCAATAGAAAGAACATGTTTTTCTCACCATTTTTATATCAATTTTATTTATATTTTATTAATGCCTCCAACTAGCACAATTTACAAATAGAAGTGACAGACTGCCAAACATCAGTAAAATCTTGGGGATTTTGGAAACAGCATTAAACATGAAATAACTTGCTCTAAGATCATGGACCTTTAACTGTAAATAAACATAATATTTTGTATTATACACTAACCTTCTTAGCAAGACGGATCTTCCTGCCTGCGACATCATAACCAAATCGAGCTGAGCTAGGCTGCCTTTTGTCAGTTAGACCAAGAGCTGATTTGGGACGTACAACTTTATGATTACCATTCATGTTTTGTCGTCGTATTCCATATGAAGATTTGGGCCTTGTTGGTGACTTTCTCTTTGGTTCTTCATACCCAGTTATACTAGGTAGACTGCTCCTGTTACTGTTCATTCTATAAACCTGAATCAAATAGACAATTGTCATTTGAAAAAGCAAGGATTGGGTGCTAGTACACTACAAACTACGCACCAATAGGAACGCAGAATGTATCAACTACTCAGAAACATGGACCCTGTAGTAGAACAGAGTAGGTCTATCCTGTACCGAATAGGTCCTGCTCCCCTAGTAGCTTACAGAACAATAAATTAAATGAATGCACATTGACAAGAGGAGAAAAGAGAAAAAAAAAATGAGATTAGAGAAAAATACAAAGACTAGTAAACTCACTTTAGCTGAATATTTTGATTCATTCATATTTTCCAAGGGAACTGTTTCCTGAGAAATATAAATAATTCATCATGAAAGTGTGGAAGATATTATCAACCATAACTGATTAGTTGCTAGCTGATATATATTGTATATGTGAGCATATACACAGCACTTTTCCTTTCAGTTACAGAGTGGATTTTTATCTCTGATCAGTGGGTTCACATGCTTATGTGTTGGTGGAGCAGCAGGCACCCTACTTGCTGGCCATTTATACTTCTGGGTGGAGAGAAGCAATGCAGTATAGTGTCTGGCACAAGGACACAAACAAAATGCAAAGTAAGGAATTGAAACCCTGACCTCAACCTGACCAATCTATTACTGCTGTGTCAAACTCAATGTTAGTAAAAAACATTGAGAATATCAATATGTAGTTTACTTACAGTTGCCACCAGTAGTCTTGTAGCATTATTCACCAGTCTTGTTGCTTCGCCTTGTGATAACATAGGACCATGTCGTGACCTCATCAATACAGAGCCACCCTTGAAGTTGCCCCATCTATAGTAATGGAATGATCAACATTGAGACATAATGCAGCAGCTACAAAAGCCATGCATAATGTTAAATTCTTGGTTGTTACAGCATAGTCAAATCTAAACTTTTATTACTGGATGTAGTAATTCAGTCATCTACTACAAGTAAGAATTGATATTGTCACCAACAAGAGAAAAGGAATTGAAATGGTAAACTTACCGTTTTTTTGGAAATGCCCTCGCTTTCATAACATTTGTGTGAGGACTCTAAATAACAAAGTATAAAATATTGTTTGAAGGTTTGCATTGTGAAGTAACAATGATTAATGCTTAAAGTACACCAAATATTAGTTCTGAAAAGAACTGTTGATTTTGTTGAAAAATCTTGATGTTTCGATTTTTCAGAAGTATGATATCAATATTATATAAATTAATATGTAAGGTAACTGTTCTTTTCAAATGTGGTGTATACTTCAGGCATTAAAATAAAATAAATATAATATCATAAGATGAAAAGGACTAAAGATTACAACTCTTCTCGAATGACTGTCAAATAATTTCAGTTTCTCTGGCACAGTTCTCCTCATACATTTGTGCTAGATCTTAAAACATCAATATTAATAATTCTTTTTCAACTTGGAAATTCTTAGATTGTGGTGTCCCGCAAGGTTCTGTATTGGTCCTCTTTTATTTTCGTTGTATATCTCTCCTGTTGCCAATATCATTTGTTCACACGAAATCCAATTCCATATGTATGCTGACGACATTCAATTATTTCTTCCTTTCAACCCATCTAATCAGCTTTCTGTATTTGGTAAAATTCAAAATTTGTTTTTATGAAATCGAATCGTGGATGTCATATAATTTGTTATACTTAACCCTAAAAAAACGAATTTATTATATTTCACTCCAAATTTACTTCATCACTGAATCAATTTCCATCGCTTAAATTAAACACAATTGAAATTAAATCTGCAACATCAGTCCATAAACTCGGTGTGATATTGGAACAATCCCTCAATTTTTACCAGCATATCAGTTCCATCTGCAAATCATCTAATTACTGTCTTCGAAATATCCGCCGAATCAGACAGTACCTTGACAGAAACTAACCTGAAACTCTTGTTCATGCATTTATTTCAACAAAACTCGATTACTGCAATTCCCTTCTTTTTCAGCTGCCCTCTTCTCCTCTTTACCGGCTTAAATACAAAATTCTGCAGCCTGTGTGTGTACACTTACGTCATGCCGTCATCTTATTACTCCCGTAATCTTGACCCTTCATTGGCTCCCAGTTAAACAACGAATTGTTTTCAAGATCTTCCTTTTAACATATAAGCTTTATTATTTTCTCGTCCATCTTATATCACTCAACTAGTTCCTCGACATGTTCCATCTCGCCGCCTTTGTTCTTCTGACAAATCATTGCTATTTGTTCCTTGTTTCGGTACTAAGACTTACGGTGGTCGTACTTTTTCTTGTGCTGCATCTTTTCTTTGGAACGAACTACTATCATTTTTTAAACACTCGTCCTCCCTTGATTCTTTTAAAATAAACCTAAAGACTTTTTTGTTCACCCCCAACTTCAGGGTACAATGTGCCTTTGATCATTTTTTTGGAATTGGCGCAATATAAAAGTTTGATTGATTGATTGATTGATTGATTGATCGATCCACTTCCTAAGTCACATAAGAGACTTAGCTTATAATGCATTGTTCCATCCTGCAATTTACTTGCTTATTAATAATAATATATGTCGCTTAAACTAAAATGAAAATATTGTTATTGTTATTAGAACATGGTTACCATGGAAACATTGAGTATGAAGTGAACTGTAAAAACCTTGTATGCTATATCAATATTTTCATGTATTGTCTCTTGTTACAGTACATTAATTTCTAAGAAAATGTGACAATATTTCTGGAACCAAACAATAAACATCTGGCTATGCATAATATATTACTGCTACAATGTAAATTACTGATTGCAGATGACCTCTGATATATTTATTAGATGCTCAATAATCTCAGTTCTGGTTTCAAACAATGTAACAAAAACTGTGATCTTTGAACACAAATGACTTTTTAAAGTGAATGCAACATAGCACATGACGTTGCCATAACTTGCAGTGCTGATTTCGAATTTTGCATGTCTTCTCGACAAACAAGACAGAAATTAGTTTGATTAAAATGGATATTTATAGGAGTAGCATATAAATGAGTCAGTTATTTTTGCTTTTTTACTCCATCTTTTCAGTTGATTTTAATACTTAAATATGCACTGAGAGACTGTGCATACAAAATTATACAGACAGTGTAAATAATAATGGCGAGTGTAAACAGAACCTCTCTCTCCGGACGCCATTCATTTCAGATGATTTTTGAAAATACTCCTTAATTTCAAAATACATTAGAAACCCTTCGTTGGCAAAATAGATCGACTGTCTACACCTACAGAAGTTCAGTAGTCAAAATATATTAATAGTCAAAACATTTTAACGTTACAAATTAATTTATAAAAATATTGTAATATTTACTGTAAAATTTAACGTAGTAGATCAATACTAATGAAAATAATTGTATTGTTTGGAATTGCTTTTAAAACTTGTAACCAAAAAAAATCAGACATTCTGTAGTACTATAACTATTGAAATAGTAGCTAACACTAAAATAACGCATGGCACTTTGTCTAGTAGTAGTGGACTATTGTAACTATAAAATCAAAAAGGCTGTACATTTTCACACTACGTTAGTATGTAGAGATAAGTGTTCTTGTGTTGCTTTTGCTTTGGACAAATTTACTTTTCCAAGTATCTGTCTACCATGTACTGTATCTACTCTACCCACTCACCCACTCAAAATGCATTTAAATGTATTTTTTTTATACTTACAGAATAATTTGAATTTTGCATATACTTATCAACTTCTTTCCTGTTAACAAAAAAAAAAAAAAAAAAAATTTTATTACAACATGCACACACATCAAACAATCTATAATTACATTATTAAAATAATCAAATTAGATAATTCAAATTATGTAAAAGCACCTTAAAATACCACAAACAACATTTTAATTACTATTATAATAGATGATACCTTGACAAAAAGGTACCGTATGTTCAAATCCTGATGGGGACATATGTTTTTTCAAAATATTACCATCTTAAATTATCAACAGTAGAGGTGTTCATCCATACCAAAGATGCTATACTAATATACATGTCACAATATAAAAATTGATTATTAAAAGCAGTTAGCTTTTACTCTATTTTGATTAATAACATAATTAATTGAATGTGTTAGCGATCATGGTTACCTCACATCTGCTTCTCTTTTTGTGTGTGGCCTGCAAGTCATGTGATTCAGCTGCCGACGTACGCGAGTTTCACGGAAGTAATGCTTTAAGGCTCTGTCATGTAGACCATCATACATTAATGTGGGCCTCTGTAAACAAATTACAACACATCAAGATTGTTGAACAAAGGTAATAGTAAGCTCTAATATGGTAAATATACCAGTAGTAGTAAGGATTCTGAGTATTGTATAACCGTCTACCATACACTTGAGTATTATGAGACTTTAATATATGATAACATTAATTAATAACAATTTTATTATTTATATATATATATATATATACTGTCTCTTATACACATCTAGATGTGTATAAGAGACAGTCAATTTTAATTTTTCATTTGCAACCGACAGCAAGTAACTCGGCAATGGTTTATAAACCAAGTCCTGTCTCTTATACACATCTACAGCCAGAAATAGAACCAGAGCTTTCGGACAACACTAGTCCTTCCTCACTGGCGAGTGAGTGAGGGTAGAAAAAGCTAGATGGTATAAAGTGAGAATTTCATGCAAGCATGATTGGAAACAATAGGCTGGGTGAGATTATATATATATATATATATATATATATATATATATAAGCTTCACCAGCTTGGGACGCATGGCTGAACTGGCATATGCAAATAATAAAAGAAATTTTTGTCGTGCAGAAGAGACGTTTCCATAGTTACTATCACTTACTTTCCAAGTGGTAGAGATAAGCTGTAAAATAAGACCAAGAACGACCATGTAGGAAATACAGCGAGAATGCTTTAGTCAAGAGACTGATGGTGTCAATGTATGTTTTTTTAGAAAAATGTGTAAAAAAAAATGTTACGTTAGCCCAGTTTTCAACAATGGTTCACTGAAATCAATAAATAGATGTATTTTTTGGTGTTTACAGTGTTTCAAAATTACCCAGAAGTGGTGATAATATGTTTAAAATGTAAATTGAAAATGAATAATGTTTGCTGCATTGTATAAATCAATCATATAATGACTTGTCACATTAAACAAAAGAATTTATGATGATAATCAGAAAATGTTATAAACTGTCTTCTATATTTTATTTTTATTATCGACTGTTAAGCTTAATAATCAACACGGTACAAAAATGTATATTTGGGTCTCTTTCTATAATAAATGATGTGGGTCATATAAGGAATATGAGGATTGGGGGGATGTTAATTTAGCAGATTTGGTGTAAATGTTACGTCCACACTTTTGTATTGGACCAACCAATATATTTCTATTGTGACCATTTGAAGCATGTCGTGGCGAAATGGTTAAGTTGTCGCACAGACCAGTATTGAGTAAATGAGCTTTAAAATATCGGAGCTCAAAACGCCTAGCCCCAGCTTTAAAAGACCAAGGCCTATCAAAATAAATATTGTACAAACAAATCTTTTATGTAAAATTGAGTTTCTGTTATGGCCTTTTTCTGTCAAAGATTTGGCTTGCTACCAATGCAGTTTTCTCTTATACACATCTAGATGTGTATAAGAGACAGCCAATAAGCAGTACATATTTAATATGAAAACAAAATCACAGATACACTCCTCCCGCCCCTGAATATTTCTTAGAGTGTGACACTAAACATGAATATTTTTTTAAATTTTCAAAATAATATGATATAAAATTAATATAAAATAAATTTTATTTATAATTATATTATTTTGAAAAATTCCAATAAGCAGTACATATTTAATATAAAAACAAAATCACAGATACAAAATAAAAATTAAATGAATGATAAACTTAACTTATTTTTAAAAATAAATTAAGTATAATATTAAATTTTTATTTTGTATCATGATTTTTTTTTTCATATTAAAAATTTTCTGACACTGAATTGAATAAATGTACAAGGTATAGAAATCAATTTTTTATACTCACTTGGTTATTTCTTTGTGATATTTATTGTACTACACTCACCATAACAGAAAATATTATATTGAAACATTTAACACACAAATTTATAGAAGTACATCATTAGTTATTTTCATACGATTTATTTTCCGAAAATAATATGTTGAGTTTGTATCATATATTTTACTAGTTGAGAAGCTAATTTTGCTAGTTACATTTTTAACAACTAGCACATTTTAGCAATAGGTTGCTAGTGGCTGAAAAAGTAAATTTCTAGCCCTGATATATATATATATATATATATAGATTAAAAGGCAAAATACTGGAAAACAACAATGCTGTGGGAAAGAGATACAAAAATTATAAGCAACAGCTAAAAAGTAAACGTGAGTAAACAGCCAGAAACAGAACCAGAGCTTTCGGACAACACTAGTCCTTCCTCACTGGCGAGTGAGTGAGGGTAGAAAAAGCTAGATGGTATAAAGTGAGAATTTCATGCAAGCATGATTGGAAACAATAGGCTGGGTGAGATTAGAATAAACAGCCTAAACAAGTAAACAGGAAGGCCAAAACTAAAATT